GTTATTATTGTAACGGCCTTTCAAGCTTTGAAAGTCTATCACTTCTTAAAATCGTTAAGCTTATGCAACAGTAGGCCGCCGACCTCAGCGAGAGGGATGTTAGTTAGTGGGCTTTTGATGGAAGTTAAGGAGCTTTGCAAAATAGGGTCAGGAATGTAATTGTTTCACTCATTTCTCACAAGTCAATTGAAGTTCGTAGTCTCTTATATGTCGTGATTGCCCTTAGATAACGATATTCATAGGAGATTTTGCGAAAGTAGTAATTACTAATATCTCAACTAAAGGTCTTTAAAAAATGGTTTCGGTTTCTCATTTAGTTTCTCTTTAAGAGCAATTCTACGAATATTTTATTTACAATTATACAATGCTAATATAATTGATTAAAAAATCGCAGTGTTGCATAATATTCATTGTTTTTTAGGCGTATTCAGGCTATAAGCTTCGGTAAAACGAAGCTTTGTCGGTATCAGTAAGCAATCTCCAGCCGCTATTGGTGACTTTTCGTGGTGAACATCGATTTTGAGAATTCTCGGTATTCAGTAAGCTATCTCACGCCTCTAGTCTAAACAAAAAAAAAAAAACAGTAATTTATCACCTTTCCCTAGGCTGGTCACAAGAAGAAAAATATGGAGGAAAAGATAATTGCTTTCTATTTTATACTAAAAAAAAAAAACTCGAAACTGAAGCGTTGAATTATTTGTTTAACAATAATTTCATTAGGAAATAAACGTAAATACTTTAATTTCAAACAAATTAAATTAAATGAAAAAAAATTGTTTCTTTTTAAAACAAAAAAAAAATAAACAAAATTAACAAAATAAAAAAAATAAGAAAGATAATTCCGCTGCCCGTTTCACCACACATTTTTTGTGCCTTTCTCTTCGGCTTTCTGCACATTGATCCGTCCAATCATAGTTGCTTCATCGTCACAGTCATGATGCAACGATTGCATGACGACTGCACTTTCGCACTCTCGGTTGTGATATTTAAATTTATTTGTCGTCTAAAAATTCGCTTAAAGCAGTTATTTTCTCTTTTTTTTGGTTGATATTTTCGCGAAATTTTTACAAAAACCTGCAATTTTAAAATTATGAACTGTGCCGCATAATTTTTCATTAATCTCTCCTTTTCTTTTCCTGAAATTTGTTTTGTTTTACAATTTCGACATATTTGATAGTTAAAATGCTCACATTCATTGAATTTTATTGCAGTTATCCACTTTTTAATAATTTCCACAGATTTTATGCAGGAAATACAAATTTTTATGTAATTTTAATGCAAATATAAACTTTTTCACAAATTTTTCCCCATAAAATGTAAGCAAACAATGCATGCATTAAAATTAGCAAACGGCAGTGTCGTACTTATCCGTTTCTGCATCTTCTACGTAGAAGTGTGCAGACCTCCATTGAAATGCATGTGCTCGTCTCAAAATTTCAGGGCGCGATGATAACGCAATCATGATTGGACGACAAGTGTGCACATGGCCTTACTGATTATCCAAATCGTCTCAAGTCACAAAAATAGTCACTCATTTCATAGTCTCCAACTTAGTGATTTGAAAAGTGACTGACTTACTGACCATAAAGTGAAAATACATAGTATGTACATACATAACGTGCATTGCGTGACCGTCAGTTGTCAAAAAGATGAATCGGTGTATTTGTATGAAGTAAAATCGTCGTGAGAATGGGTACTTGTACGTCAATATTGGAAAAGAATGTCTAGGAAGTGGTGCTCCTAACGTACAGAGACGCCAAAATAAAGGTGTCGGGTTTGTAAACAAAAATCAGCTGTTATTTATGGCCGGTACTTGCCTTGTCTTGTAGAAACGCGAAGTTATACAAGTGTCAGCATTGTTGGACTTACTTGCGTCAAAAGTGGAGAGTTGGTCAACGTTCGGCAGGGATAGGGATCAAGGCATATGAAACAGATAGTAGCATTGGAGCAAAAATAACATTTTATTATTATGAGTTAAGCGAACGTTCCAAAAGATGGTTTTCAATCGCTTGTTTTATGAAAAAATAATTATATTGTTTGACACTTTAAAGACGAAATAATTTGAAAAAATAAATAAAATAAAACTAAAATCAGCTGATCAACTGGTTCTACCTGTTCATTATGCCTCGGCATTATACAATTTTTGCCATTTCATGCCTAGTGGAAATCCGGAATTAATGACTATTTTTGTGTTCCTGTAATTTGGTGGAAATTTGTCATAAGAAAAGTCTCCTCATACATGAACACATACTTATTTATTTGTTTTGAATACGCCTACAAAGTGCATAACGTAATGAAATTATAAGCTATAACTTCCTGTTATTTGTAAAAGATTTTCGAAGTCGCAAAATTATTGTTAAAAAAGTTTTTATATTCGCCGTGCCTGCGCAGATAGGGGTCTCCGCTTAAGACCACCTGACGCTGCGTATGAATATTTGTCTTTTTTAAGTATCTTTCGCCAAAACGTCAAATGTCAAAGTAAATCCCATATACTCCAAAATCTTAACTGCAGTTAAGAGCTTTGTAAGAGTTTCCATCGTAAATATTAGTATCCAGATCCTAAGGAAACGGTCAGGCAAAAGTGCTATTATTTCGTTTGTGTGAATAGTTGTGTCGAAGAAGTTTTGACATCTGACATTGCACAGCCTATTGTCTCATTCTTTCCTCGCGAAAAAATGGAACGGACATATATTTCTGTTGCAAACATGGGTTTCCTTGTGCTATTTTTTCATAAAAAAAAAACTTTAGGAAACCGTAGTAAAAAGCGTAGCAAATTTCATAAGAACTGCGTACTGCCTTAAGGAAATTTGGCACAAGAACATTTCTGCGCTATTTCTTGAGCGTTGTTTATATGGTGTTATTGATTTTCTTGAGAGCAGTGTTGCCATAAGTGTAGATTTATCTTCAAAAAGAAAATATATTTCATAAATAATCGAAAAATTTTCACATGAAAATAATTACAACAAAATAAAACTCCATACAACAAATCTTCTCAGTGAAGACATCTGGCAGCACCTGACCATTTTTTTTAGGATAGTTGGCAACAAATTTTTCGTTTTCGTCATCGATTTACTGCTTACATGCGAACGTAGGCCAGCTAGAATTCTATTGTCAAATATGGATGGGAAAAAATTAAACCTTGAACTATGCCCACTTTATACTCTGTGTTTTTTTTTGTAGTTGGCACTAATAGGTGACAAAAAACTTTTCGTTTTTGTCATCAATTTATTTTGCAAGACAAACTCGGCGTTGTGAATTTCAGCAAAATAAAAATGATGGAGCGTTATTTGTTAAAACAAAAACGGAAAATAATTTTGGTTTCTAAATTTACATTAACAAATTAAATTTTCTATAATTGGCTTTATGGAGACATTATCATCATCATTCGATAGCGGGGATGAATTTTAGTAAAAATTCGAAGTGTTTTTATTATAAAATCTTCAATAAAGATAAATCTAGAAAAAAAAAAGATTTTCTTTCAGTTTTGTAACCTTTTTATGGTTTTTTGAAGATCTTATCATCACTCGAAAGATTTTTAACAAAATTTTTCTGGCAACACTTATTGAGAGTTGGATACTAATACGTAATCAAGAATTATGGAATACAAGCCCATCAGATCAGATTTTTGAGAATAGTTTTTGTGTGACGTCATACTGGTGCAGTTGCGAGAGAGAAATGCCAAAACGCGAGCAAGAATGGAAGGAGAAGAAGAAATTTTGTAAGAAAAACGTAAACAAGTTGCACAAGTGTGACGTCATAAAAACAGCGATTCTGTCAAATTCACTGAGAGCGATATAGCGGTACCAAGATGGGCGCCACTTTTGTTCTCTACATCGTGAAGCGTAATCAAGTTTTTGATTGTATCCATTTTGATAGTTTGCTTTCATAGGATTTATTGTTACCAAATAGTAGGATTGTTTACTTTGCTTACGATAAAATTTAAAATTTTTGCGTTTAACTGATAATAATAAATTTCAGGGATAGGGAATACCGCTAAATAAATTTCTCTCCTCTGTCCTTGGATGCGCGTAAATGTATACCGTGTTTAGTGTTAATACAGCCATAACTGTTAACGAGCATAGTTGAGTTAAAAAGCTGAAATTTTTTCGTAGCTTTTAGCACTGAAACGAGGTTCACTGCAAGCCCCTTGAGAAACTACAACAGCTGGAGTACAATTTTTTGCCTAAATCGACTTCCATAACACTATTCTCTACGTAAATATAATGCCAGCGCATTTAAATATATTTGTTCATTATTTTGTCAATTTCTTTTTAATCCTACAATACCTTTGTGTATTTATGCATAATGCTTGCACGATTAATTTTGATCCGAGTATGTATTATCTTAAAATCACCATGAATTCCATACCTAGATAAATATTTTTTTTTTTAACACTAAGAAAGCACATAAATTAAAATTATCTAGCTAAATACAAATATGACGAAGAAATATTGTACTTTTATGCATGTACACTGCCGGCAAAAAGTATTGACACAGCGAATTTTGCGCAATATATGCACCAATAATTTCTAATCTGATATTTTCCCGCTAATTTCTTTATAAAAATATAATTTCTAAACTTTGTGCAAGGCTCGCGAAAATTCAATAAATTTTCATGCAAATTTGTAGCCCATTAAATTCTAGTATAAAAAATGCAAGTTCGGAGTTAGTCAAAAATCGCGTTGATTTTTGAGATTTTTTTTTTTGTTGAAAGCCTTTTTTCCACATGAAGTATTTTCGAAATTTATTTTTTCTATGGAAGAGACTGCTTAGAACTTCTACTTTATTACAATAGAATTTATTGGGCTACAAATCTGCATACCAAAAAAAAATCTTATTAAAAAGTTGAAAATTTGCTGAATTTTGCGCGAGTTTTGCACAAAGTTTAGAAATTATATTTTTATGTTTTTTTTTGTAGAATGAACCATATGTTTATAAAAAATTGGCGGAAAAATATTACAATAAAACTTGTTGCATATATTGTAAAAAAGCAGCTGTACCAATACTTTTTGCCGGCAGTGTATGTATGTATGTATAGGCTACGGTCATTTACATCGGTATATACTTATGTATGCACGTGTATGTTAAGATAAAATGGATTTAGGAAAATTTAGCAAAAAGTGACTTCCGAAGACGAGAATGATTTAAGCGAACCATGGAAGAATTGTTTGCGTATTCGCGATCGAGTTGTTATGTATGTATGTTTTTAAGCTTTCAAGTGTGTTCCATGTGATTACATATGTATGTATGTATATACGAGTATGCGTTTCTTCAATTGTTGCGTATAGGGGAAGCTTATTTTGATCGTATGCATTTCAGGCAATAAGAGAGAATGATTACAAGTTTATATGTATCTATTCACGTGTGTATGTTTTTATAATTAATAACTTTCTTAAACCCTATACAAGCTGCGTACTTAATTGCTAAAATCGTAGCTTTCATAGTTCCTCAATCCTTACATACGCGTGCTCTCCAACGTCAACGAGCCGGCGGCAACATCCGCTGACGCTGTCAGTAATAACAGATCCGACGCCGTCGAATTGGCAGCGCCCGCCGACGAAGAGCGTTTCTTCGTACTGCCTCGACCATTGCTTTTTAAAAATCAACTCGAGGAACGCGTAAGCAGCTCATCATCGTCAAGTTGCGCCAAAGCTGCCGGCGAACCCACATCGATGGTGGTCACACGATTGCCGCCATCCGAGGCAGATGGCAACTTGATGACATCATTGTCAGATGAATGCACTGGCATAATAATGCAAACGAAGCTCTTGCCTGTCTGTGAGTCGCGCGGATGCAATGTTACCGGATTGAATTTCTCCGTTTGTCCATCGGTGTAGGTTTGTAGCCGCTGATAAATCTCCGGATAATGTTTACGCAGCAACACACCACGCCGAGATAATATATCCAGTATGTTGGAGAGTATGAGTTCGCCTTGATTGGCATTCGAGCGCAAGTTCGGATTAAATGTGAGTATAAGTATCTCGGTGGTGGGTTCCGGTACAGCGACAACTGTCAGCGGTGGCTGTTGCTGTTGGAGGGCCTGTTGCTGTTGCTCCAGCTCGGCTAGGATGCTCTTGCAGAGTTTCAGTTTGGCACAACGCGAGACCAGCTGGCGTTCCCAGCGTACTGGCGCCTGTCCCATGCCCGGCGCTTCGCTCACCACACATATGGCCACATAGATGAGCATCTTCGAGTCTGGCTTGTATTCGGTGCTTAGCTTGAGCAACTCCGAGTACAGCTCGAGACCCATTTCGGCGGGCATCAGATCGGGCCAACGCACATAGGACGCCTCGCCCATACACTGAAAGCCGTGCTTGATGAAACTCTCAGCCGCCTCGGCGGAACGGAAGAGCACCCGCACAACGCCGCGACCCTGCGACAGGGAGCCCTTGCGTGCCAGCAGACTGAGATGGCGCTGCGAATCGACATCGTCCTTGCAGGTGGCTAACACTTGGCGGCACAAATTCGACGCACGTGAGTGCAGACACGCCTTGCGGTGCTTCTCCCAGTGGGCGCGTCGACATTCACGCGAACAATATAAATGGGTACAATTGTGGCATGACTTGTAATACTTTTTGGCGTCCGCGGGCGTGGCGCTACGATCGCACTTGGTGTTGCGGCACTTGATCTGCAATTCGGATGTGGTCTTGTTATTGGACTCGGAACTGTCGCCGAGCGAGACACGGCGCGTCGGCTGTGTGGCGTTCCCGGTGCCGATGACACAGCTGCCACCTCCGCCAGCTCCGCCTCCACCGATAGCGGGCGTGTTGCTGTTATCTTGGAAGTTGCCAGCGTTGGTGTGCGTTTTATTGGCTGTCGAGTTGGTTTTGGCATTTTGGTTGTAGAGTTGTGTTTGCTGTTGGTGCTGTTGTTTTTGTTGTTGCGGTGCATCGCCCTCACTGCGGCGGCGCAAGCGTTGCTGCTCAGCCTGTAATTGCAGTAGTAGTTGCTGTTGGGACTGTTGTAGTTGTGACTGGGACTGGGGGTTTTGTGCCGGCTGTTGCTGCTGCGGCATATGACGAAATGTGACCAGGGACTGACTAGCTGAATCGCCTGCGAAAAGAAGAGACAAAAGAGAGATATTTTGTTGGAGAATGGAATTGTCAAAAGCTGCGTCACGTATAACATTAGAACTTTTGCTAATAAACTCCTAATATAGAACAACGCTAAGGCATTCCACACAAAGGTTAAATACGAATGTAGAAACGAAATGAAAACAAAAGTTTATTAACGATATTAATTTGGAAATGTTTCGATAAGCACAAGTAGGGAAACTGTAACGAAGAGGAATGAGTTGAACATGCTTGGAGGGATTCAATCGTACTACTTGCTTGGCAATACTTTGACAGATCTTTGAAAATAATAATCAAGCTGCCCTTTTTACCTATACATATAATCACGATTTTTGAAGTTATATTTACATATGTATGTATGTATGTATATGAACTTACAAGTTAAAGAATTTAAAGCATTTTCAAAATTTTAGGGGTAGGTTTATATCTTTTCACACATCCGCCCCTTATTCCCATCTCGATGCGCTGGTAATTGCCTCAGTAATGTCCTTCATGCGTACCCTTTCATTTTGTAGAAAATTCCTAGGCTCTCAGATAAATTTACATATTTAAGGCACTGCCTAAACTCCTCTCACTAATATACCTAAAGTACATAAATTAAACTTCCACATTACGGAGATATTTTACAGTAGTTATATTATTTAAAGGAGACCCGTTTTGGCGATGTATAATTTTGCGTAAGCCCCAATAAAAGTGATTCGTGCTTTCTAAGTACATATACATACATATATGCCCTTTTTTCTTTGCTGCCTAACAGATGAAATTTCCCATTTCCATCAATAGCTTAACAGCAATTAAGAATTCTATTGAGTTCTAGAAATTATCAGGCCTTCCACCGTATGTTGTTAACTTAAAGGTCGACCGATTGGTAGTTTTCAATTTCAAGGTTTCATTGTTTAGTATTTATTGTTACCAGGATAATGATAACTTTTTTCTTTCGAGGAAAAACTTCATAATTTTTACTAAACATACAATAGGGGCATTTCAGCGTGACGGATAGGACATTTTAACCAAGGAATGAAACCGATTCAAAATAACGTTCCGGTTTCGGTTTTGCAAAGTGTTGCGGTTTTAGTTTCGTTCTTCAAAATTTTTATCGGTTTCGTTCCGGTTTCGGTTTTGAAATAAAAAAATTAAAGCAAGTTTGACAAAAAAAGTCACCACCATATTCACTTAAATGTTTAATTTTTGCTGTAAAATTGAAGGTGTATGAAAACTAAAATAATTATGAAATTTTATCCACCCATTCACTTCTGTGCGCTTTACAACTATACATGTGAAAATGAAAATGAAAATGACTTCTTCCAAATAACCGATGGCAGATCGGAGATTTAATTTATTTGGCATCTTTTTAGCAGCGTTTTGCGAAAAGTTACTTTGTCAAAATTACTACTTAACAAGAATTTTAGCAAAATAATTGTGCTTTTGGTTAAATAAATCATTTATTTCAAAGAAATTTATATTTATTTGGGAGGCAAATGTAATTTGTGGAAAGTGAAGTAAAATGAAGTGACGAAGTTAAGGCTTCTAAAGTGAAGTGAAAAACTTCAATTGAAGTGACAGCCGCAGCACTTCGACCGCCTTGTATAAATTCGCCTTGAAACCGCACAGTTATGCTACTGAAGAAAAAAATTTTGGTTGCTAGATCCTGCAGCTGATTTTTATAAATTTCTGGAAACCAATTGAAACCTGTGGTTGAAACGGTTTCGGTTTCGTTCCTTTTCAGGTCAAGATAACGGTTACGGTTTCGGTTTCATTCCTTGATTTTAGCTTGTTTACGCTCAAACTTTAAGTAATTTCTCTTAAGCCATTAATTTGACAAGTTTCAAAAAGTCAGCACTTTAAATCAGATATCAGTTTAATACGAGATTAATAAAGTATAAAACTTAAGGTATATTTTATGTTTTGATGGCATTATTAAAATGCGGACACATACTTTGTGAGTAAAATGAATACTACTTTTTTGTTATGAATATTTATTATTTTTTTAATAAAATGGTCTTATTTAAAAAATTAGAAGCTTACGTATTTGTACGTTGGTTAAAAACAAACAAATTTTGCCGTGGCGGATGGGACATCCGCATTTCTCTGAATGCTGACAACTTCTCGACATAAATAATAAATAATTTTTTTTTAATGTGTTGTGCTCAGTTTTAAAGTCCATGAGTTGTATTTTATCTCCTCTTACACGCTCCAATTTTGTTGAATTCAAGTTGTTGGTTCTTTAAATGGCAAACAATGAAAATGTCAAAAGCAAATCCAGAAACTTGAAACCCCACTTCTTCCACTTGCAAGCAGAGAATTTAATTCAATGCTTGACCATGTAGAACCCGTTTGAAACTAAAAAAATAGTGGATAATAATTATTTTTTTTTTGCTCCTTTAAAATTGTCTCAGATTTAAGCGCAATCTGTGTAATTTATTTTTTGGCTTGTAGTGTTGTCTTCGCTGGAATGACCCATGTGTATTTTCTGTGCGAAAAGGGCCTAAAAGTATTTTATGAATCCTTGAGTTAACACCGTTCTGAAATACTGTTAAGACTTTTATATAGGATCATTTTTGTTAAAGCTGCATATGTACATGCATAGGCGTAGCCAGGTAGGGGCAGGGGGGTGCTCGACACGTTAATCTGTAATATAAAAGTTAACCTCAGATTAAACCAATAACTTTTCGGTGTCCGACCTGGTTTTGTCGATGATTTTTGCGAAGTAGAGGAGAAACCTCAAATGTGAATGTAAAGGAAAATGGTCGTTAGTAAAACAAGAGGTTTTTGCAAGGAAACTTAAAAAAAAAAATTATTATTTTTTTGTTGGCTGAATGCATTAGGGATCTTCGGCTTTTACAGTCGGATTTTAAATTATTGTATCGTCGGTCCCTACGAAGAGTAGCACATTTCACTATTCGCGTGGAAGACTAGCACATTTCACTATTAGCGTGGAAGACTAGCACATTTCATTATTCGCGTCGAAAAGTAGCACATTTCAGATTTTTGCGTGGAAGAGTAGCACATTTCAGGTTTTTGCGTGGAAGACTAGCACATTTCACTATTCGCGTGGAAGACGAGCACATTTCAGATTTTTGCGTGGAAGAGTAGCACATTTAAGGTTTAAAGTAAATCATAAAGGGATAATTTATATTGGAAATTAAGTGCCTATTTTATATTTCTATAACTGTATTATAAAATTCATGAAATTCAGACGGTATAAATCGTTTAGTGATCATTTGCTGGAGATCATCCATTTTTCTTTTTTTTTGTTTGTTTTATGGTTAACCATTGAAAATTTGTTTTCAGTATGTTCAATTTCAATTAAAATAAAGTTCATTAAAAAAAAAACATGTAAACCCACGCTTAAAACTTTGTATAAATCTAAAAAAAAATCAACTAATCTTCATTCAAATTTCAAACTTATTTACTCAGAAGTGTTAAAATTTTTTTGAGTATGAAGCCTTATAGCTGATTCAATTATAGTGTGATAATGTGCAAGTTTCAAGAGCCTTAAAATTACCTTTGATTCTTTTTGCCGCATTTGCTCCCATATAACGAATAAACACAATTTATTTTTATATGGAAGAAAACCGCAACAACGGAAATTTTAAGCCACTTGAAACTTGCACATTATTGCAACAAAATCGAAAGGGCTTTAAATCTATATACTCAACAAATTCTGAGAAAATAATTTTGAAATTTGGATGAACATTTTTAGACTTTTTTTTAGTTTTCTACAAAGTTTTAAGTATGGGTTTATATGGATTTTTTCAGAGAATGAACTTTATTTTAATCAAAATTCTTAAAAATAAATAAATAGACATAAGTGGAAAACTATATCACTTTGAAATGAGGTGCTCTTGATATGACTGCATGTACATTAGGGTGGTCCAAAAACAGTAAAGTCGGAATTGTAATGCTATCACCCCCTAGGATTGTTCTACATATATAGAAAAAAAGAATACACCTATTTTTTATTTTAAAATCAAAAAATATTTAGAGGTCGCTCAAAGTGCTCAAAGTTTTCGATGTATTTTCATAAGTATGGGAAAAACAACTTTTCGTAGAAATGGTATAGAATTCTTGAAAATTAATGTATTTTCATAAGTATGGGAAAAACAACTTTTCGTAGAAATGGTATAGAATTCTTGAAAATTAATATTTTTCGATCGAAAAACTCTGGTTCTCTTCAGGAGACTTACAATAATAATACCCAATTATTTATTTAACCATTTTTAATACTAACGATTTTTTATTTGTCCCCCCATTGCATTTTTCGGGGTTTTTGTGGGTTTTTGGCGGACCTATAAATTATAGTTGCGATGAAAAAATGGTTAAATAAACAATTTGGAATCTTCTGCAGATGAAAAGAGTTTTCCGATAGAAAAATATTAGTTTTTTTGAATTCTATACCATTTCTGCGAAAAGTTTTTTTTCCACATATAAAATACATGGAAAACTTTGGGCGCTTTGAGCGACCTCTAAATATTTTTTGATTTCAAAATAAAAAATTGGGGTATATTTTTTTCGGTATAGAACAATCCTAGGTGGTGAGAGCATAAAAATTCCGACTTTACCTTTTCACATGCATTTTTGGACCACCCTAATGTACATATATGTTTCTCGTATTTATAAATAGATTCCCTGAGGAAGACGCGAATATGTTCCAAAACAAGTAGGAGGAAAATAAACGTTTATTCTGTTTGTAAAAAAAGATCGAAAAGCTCCATACACAACATTAAACTTTCAACTTAGTCGAGGAGAAATAATTATAACATACATGTATGTTTGGTTTTTGTACGGCTGCTGGTACCACTTTGTATGAATTCGCTACTATTCTACGCGAGAATCTGAAATGTGCTACTCTTCCAGGCAAAAATCTGAAATGTGCTAGTCTTCCACGCAAGTAGTGAAATGTGCTAGACTTCCACGCAAAAATCTGAAATGTGCTAGTCTTCCACGCGAATAGTGAAATGTGCTACTCTTCCACGCAAAAACCTGAAATGTGCTACTCTTCCACGCAAAAATCTGAAATGTGCTACTCTTCCACGCGAATAGTGAAATGTGCTAGACTTCCACGCAAAAATCTGAAATGTGCTACTTTTCGACGCGAATAATGAAATATGCTAGTCTTCGACGCGAATAGTGAAACGTGCTAGTCTTCCACGGTAATTTGAGATGTGCTACTCTTCGTTGGGAGCGACGGTATATCGGTGTTTTTTTGTTCCAAAGTTCATTGACCTCAAGCACTCCATCCTAGTGTTTACCAACCAGATTTCAGTTCTTATCGCCCTAACGTACCACACTAATTTCATTAAATTAAAGCCCACCAAAATCATTAAACTTTTTCTAAAGGATTGTTTTCACTATGTCAAATTCAGTGGCAAATACTTAAGTGAAACCGCGTTGGCAAATGGAACTAAAAATAGTTAGACGATAGATCAGAATAGGTCTTCAGTCCTGCACATGTGCTGCTAAATTTTCTATCTGTCCGTTTTTGGCCAATAATATAACACCGTGCGACAAAAACAAACAAAATTTAAAACACACGAAAGAATCGATATACTCACGAAGCTATGGCTCAAATATTGTAAAACTGCCTTTTTACTTCTTCACTCAAACGTCAGGATTTTTTTCAAAGGACTTTGAAATTTTAAAGATGTGATTAATTTAAAAAAAAAAAAATATTTAAAAATATCAGTGCAATGTAGAATAACAATAGATAGAAAATTCTGTGGAATTTAAAAACAATGGTTTTTTTTTTTTTGGTTTACAAGGACGAATAGGTACTGAAAGTGCGCTTTTAATAAATTTTCTCTTTTTAAATTGATAAAGTTGTGAGGTCGTGCACATATTAGTCTTCAAACAATAATTAAAAACAAAAAAAATAAAAAATATTGCACTGATTTTTTTTAAATAACTTTTTGAAATAATGATCTTTTTTAAATCTCAAAGTCCTTTAAAAAAATATCTTGACGTCAGAGAGAAAAACTAAGTACGCAGTTTAACCATAATTTACCCATAGTTTCGAGAACATATTAAGTTTTTTGTGTGTAAAATTTACTGTCGCACGGTGTAATCAGTAAAAGTATGGATAATGAAGATGAATGATGTGTCAACCAGCCTTAAGGAAGTGTTTCGATTATTCCAGTAGAACTACAAATACTAAAGAAGAAACTACTTTAGGCTCAGGGGGGGTCGGCGAAATTTTTGTTTGCTTGTAAGGTCGTACGGTAAAATACACATATGTATGTACGGAGAACATTTGACTTTTAGATTTATGTATGTAATTAGCAGTAATTTTCTGTGATCGATAATGTTCGTACTTCAGTTTTTTTAAGTGAACAAAAAAATCAAAACTTCATTTCTAAAATAAGTTAAAGTGGTATGACCCCCTAAAATACTGTAATCTCATAACCATAGAAACTAATAACTAAAGTGAATCGAAGAGAAAATATTTTCTATTACATAAAGGTCATTTCATATTTATAATACAAAAGCAATAAAATTTTAATTTTTGCAAAAATTAATTTCATACACACCACACGGCGGATAGTGCAAAAATCTTGTTGCAAGTAATTTTTTTAAAATATTTTTTCATCTTTTATTTAAACAAAATATTTAAATAAAGCACTTATTTTAAATTAAAGATAGATGTATGTACGAGTATATAAGACGCTGTGATAAAATATTCTTTAACACATAGAAAGAAACACAACAATAAAAAGGAATCCAAAACAATTTTGTGGTTATAATAAAATTTTAAGTAAATCGTTATATTTTGTTTTTTTTTTTGTTTTTGATTATACAAGTAAAACACAATTGTTATTATTATTTTTTTTTAATTTACAAATTCTAAATTTAATGTTTACGCGCGCGCATGATTATTTGAACAAGTCTAATTTTTGTTTTTTGTATACTATAATTAGTAAATGTGTATATACGAGTATGTACGAGTATATTTTTGTGATGGAACAAAACTTACAGGTTCATACCTGTCGTCGTGGACCTAGCGTATGGATCACTTGTGGAGGATGGGCCCGCGCTGACGTTGACGCCGACGCTAGCGCCTGCACTCGCACTCGCACCTGCACCCGCACCAGCGCCTACGTTCACGCCCTGCACTCCACCACTTGACGCTGACGACGATGGCAGTCCTAATAGTGAGGCTAAGACATCTTCTAGCGATGCGGTGCTCAACGAGCGTTCTGGCGCTAAATTCAGGGTTTCCGAATTGGGCAATTATTTTTTTTTATGAATTTGTTTTGTTGTTGATCGGATTAGTAGGAGGGAAAAGGTTGTGTTAATTGGAGTTATCGTTTTTTTTTTTTGTTTTTTTTTTAGTGACATACATATGTGTTGGTTGGCCGCCATTAGTTGATGCATCGTTTTAATTGTATTTTTTTTTTATTATCGACATAGTAATGTTTTTGTGATAAAAAAAGGAAAAAAGAAACGAGAATACAAACGCATATTTTTAAAATATTGCTTGAATTTTTTCAAGTCGTTACATTAATATTCTAGCCTAAAATTATACTTAACTAAATTTTAATGAAAATAATTCTACTAACAACAATAAGTGGTTGAAATATACAGACGAAAGACTGAATTGCAAAAATGACTGCCTCAAATGATTATTGCTATTTCTTCAATTGCCGTGTTTTTGCACAAAAAATTTGAAAAAAGCAAATATGCATAAATCATTGAGTAAGGGTTGCCTACTGTTATCGCAAGTAAATACGCGAGGAAGAAAGGAAGCGTTGAACTGTGGAAGTAGTAGTCATTTGGAGTACGGAAAGGGTGTTTTTAGGAAAGTTGCAAATCAAAAAACATCTACTGGTTGCGTCTACTGGCTACTGCAAATTAGGTGACAAATTATGATCGTTTAGTGAATGTGAATTTTAAGCTACAACCTACAATATGTATGTATAAAGCTACTTTAGAGTGATTAAAATCTAAGAGTGATACTATGTTAAGCATTTAAAAAAGGTAAAAACATAGACAAAGAATAACATAAATATATGTAGTAAGTTAATAGTAAACAAATCTTTTTGAAACAAGCTTTCTAAATATAAAACAAATCGGACCATAAATATATCAAACCCTAAGCCACCTACCAGAAATTTTTTTTGTGGAGTTATTTCTCTTCATGTAAGTAATATACAGGGTGTCTTATACCACCCGTCTACCCTCTCTAAAATGGAGGAAATGTTTTTTTTTTTTTTTAAACCGCAAAAATATGACCTAACAAATCGACTTCCGGTGTTGCCAGCATTGGGGTTAAACTGATCGGAGGTACATTTTTTAAATATGTATGTTCTTACCACAAAAAAATACACAACTATTGTAGGAAACTTTATTCTGTAATGCAGTTCCGGTTAAAATAATGGGCTTCCGGTCTGCTTAACCCACTTCCGGTCGAAACCGAAAGTCGATAACATCGTGCGACAGTAAATTTTACACACAAAAAAATGAATATATTCGTGAAACTATCGGTAAATTATAGTAAAGCTGTGTACTTAGTTTTTCTCTCTGACGTTAGAATTTTTTTTAAAAGGACTTTGAAATTTTAAAATATAATTATTTCAAAAAATCATTTGGAATGATTAGCAGTAAATAATATTATTCAAATTTATGTTATTTACTATACTTCTATTACAATTTAAGACGAAAAAGTGGTATTTGCCTTGAGTAAAGGTTTTCAACTTTTAAAGAAAGCCATCACCCACAAACTTTTTTCGCTTGATAAGTTATCATTTAAATAATATCAGTGCAGCTAACTTAAAACAAAAATGTTTTTTTTTTTTCAACTAAAATTTTGCCGTCTCTAAAGTTTGCCGCCCTAGGCACCTGCCTATGTTGCCTTTACGGTAAATCCGCCACTGGATATGGAATATGTCTTTTAAAAATATTGTCCTTAAATATAATAAATATATAAATATAATATATATTTTCAATATATTTTTTTTTTAACTATTGTTTGAGGAAAAATTTACTAATTTGAAAATATAAAATTTATTAAAAACGCATTTTTAATACCTATTCGTACTTGTAAACCAAAAAAGTTCATTGTTGTTAAATTCAACGCAATTTTCTCTCTCATTTGGTACCCATATGGTTATTCTAAATAGCACTGATTTGTTTTAATAATTTTTTTAAATTAATCATATCTTAAAATTTTCAGAGTCCTTTGAAAAAAATTCTGACGTCAGAGTGAAAAACTAAAAATGCAGTTTTACTATATTTGGCCCATTGTTTCGTGAGTATATCGATTCATTCGTATATTTTGATTTTTTTTTTGTTTTTGTCGCAATAGTACAAAAAGATAGAGCACCCCTAGCTTGATGATTAATTTTCTTTTCTTTTTCATTAAGGAAATTTTCGTCCATTTTAGAAGTCCAGGACAAGTTGAAGTTCGAAGGTCATTTAGAGGTTGAAAAAGCCACTTTTAAAAAAGAGTTTTATACATACGTATTTTTATCCTAAGAATTTGAATATGTAGCAAAAACATGTATGTCTAATTTAAGAAAATGGTCAGTTTAACCCACTTCCGGTCGAAATATTACCAAAACATAGAGCATCCCAGATTTGTTAGGACATATTCTTGCGTTTTTTTTTTTTTAATAAAAAACATTTCCCTCATACAGGGTGCCTTATGAATATAAACTAAAATGAAACCACAGGTATGCAGGATTTCGAAATATATCGACTGCCGCGCCACCTACCGGCAACATTTTTTTTGTGGAATCTTTAGAGGTAGAGTGATATTCCAAACATTTATGCGGTATTTTCCACAATGCCTAAGTGTGTTTGCATGTGAAGGCCATCCTAAGGGTTAGGCACGTGGCTTCGCATTACCATTAAGTTACATAGCGTTGCCAGATAAAGTACGACCACTTTAGACAGCTAATCACTGCGAACCAGAAGCAATGCTGAAGAACATCGCAGTCCTCTTGGCAAACTGGAACAACTGGTTATACCCTACCAGATTAGGTAAAAAACCTGCTCGCAGTGGACTAACCCGCAGTCTGCCAAGGGCAGGACACTCGCAGAGGATATGGCTCCACCGTCTAAGGGTTAATCATCTTCAATTGTCTCTTTATTTTGTTTGAGTAGCATAAATCGCTTAATTTTGTAATCGGGTTTTATGGAAACGGTGCAAAGAAAACCTTAAATTGTTTTTTTATTTCGTAAAAGTAAGTGGCAATATATTGCTGGTTGTGGTATTTTTTTCAATTAAGGCCTACAGAAAAAGGTGCAAGTGTTTTGGAAAGTGGCGCTGTTCATCGGCAACCTCGCTGAGGTTGCGTTGCTATCCATAATTGACTCATTAGAGAATTTTACATCTTCGTGCCATTTAAAACATTATAAAACAATTCTGTTTTTCGGACGTAAATATTTATTTATTTCACTTTGATGATATGTTTTACAAGTAAATTTTTAATATAGTATGTATGCAAGTAAATTGTCATCGTCAAAACTTAAATGCTAAAGAAAAAAAAATAAAAGTTTTAAAACTAAAATTTAATACAAATTAATTTTTATATTAACTATAAAAATTATTGAAGAGTACATTTAAATTAAAAACTCAACAAACCGAATAGTACGTAATTAATGCAAACACACCTACAGTTTGTGTATATGTATGCATGTAAATAATATTTTGAGCATAAGCAAATGAGGGTTTGAATGATCAAAATAGTTTTTTTGTATTTTTTTTTTTTGAATCAGTTAAATAGTTTCGCTTTAATAATGAATCTTTTTAATTAAAAAGAATAATATTGCAACATTTGTTTTTTTTTTGTTTTTTTTTACAATTAAATAAAATTAAGGTAAAACTGTATAACTTATGCGTGTATGTATATAACCTAAGATAAATATGTTTTAAAAACAAATTAAACACAAAATTTTGATGCTAATTACAAATGTTCAAAAACTTTTGTGCAAACTATTTATAAAAAATGCATTATTAGCTGCTATTGGATTCAGAGTTTTCTGGCTTTTGCTGGCATCTCTAGCCAACTAATATATATTTTGATAAAGAAGAAATCAGAAACTAAATTAAAAAAAAAAAAAGATTATATATTTTTAAGTGCACTTAAAAATGTAAAAATTAAATTTTTACATGCTAAACGCAGCTGCTACGAGTTTTTTGCGCAATTTTTTTCCTTTGCAATTCTACAAATTATAAATTTATATGTATGCATATAATATGGTGCGTGAAATGCACTAAAAAGTATATGTAGTTATGCAGTTAAATTATTTTCTGTGACATCTAAAATGCTAAGCAACTACTTGCATTTTTGTTTCAACTCGATTATACCCCAAAAGCTCTTTCACGCTACTAAACTAAACAAAACGAAAGTGATTTCATAGCTATACTTTTTCTTTTCTCCGCTACTATAGAAAACATTTTGTTTTTAATAAGAAAAGTTAGCTTATGCGTGCATACATACACACATATGTTTGAGCATGTAATTACTTACATACATATGTACGTATGCATGTATCTAAATATCTAATAATGCGAAAAAAGAGTTGGCCGTTTTGTTTTTTTTTTTTTTTGGTGTGGATGCAAATGCATTTGTGTTTGTGTATATGTATATATTTCTGGGATTTTAAGCATCTCAATTCATCGTTCATACATTAAAGTATATAAATATGCATATTTTTATATGTGTATGTAGCTACATATCAGTTTGTATATATATATATATATATGCATATATTTATGTATATGTATAATATTACTAAAAAGTATTATGTAGAGTATTTAATTAAAAATGTTGCCTAAATCATAATTGTCGACTCACCACCGCCAACGATACTCAGACCGTTCATGCGTAATACATGTGGATTTGTGGTGATCGCTGTGGTGATACCAATGCCACCAATACTATTTGGTGTTGTTATTGCCGTTAATGTATTTGTTGATGAATTATTCGTATTGTAATTGTAATTATAATTGTAATTGTTATACTGGCTGCTGCTGACGCTGTTATTATTGGTGGTGTTGTTGGTATTGGTAGCGCTACTAAATGCAGTTGCTGTATTCTCGATGACCGGTGTTTGTGGTGAGTCCAGCGGGCGTATGCCAACAAATGAGGATTCAAGCCAACATTTTCTGGCGTAGTGGAGAGGGGAAGATAAGAGCAAAGTATGGTGATAATTAGTTAAAATGCTTAGCTAGAAATACGTAAATATTATTTAGTTAATTTATTAAAAGTTGAACGGCAACTGTTAGTAATCTGTTAGTGTTAGTGCATTAGTGCTTTGGTTCGGTAAAGGTTACAATATGGATTTACATAGATTTTAAAGTAGAGTAGGGTTGAATGTACCTACACCTGTAGATTTCAAGCGACAAGAAATCGCGCTGATTTTTAATAATTTTTTTCCTCGCGAATAAAGCACTCGAAATATATATGGTTTTGGTTAAAGCTTGGACATATTTATAGAAAACAACAAAAGTATTTAACTTGAAAAACATTGTGAATATTTAAAGAAAATCAACACGTCATCACTTCTTTGAGTCATTGTATGTATGTAAATAAACATATGTACACTGGTGTCAGAAAAAATAGACCCACCTTATTTTGTTTAAAAATGGACTTAGCAACTTTTCACTCGTAAGCAAGCGATATACAAAAATGCGCATTTTAAACTTTGTACAAAAGTTATAAAAATTCTAAAAATTAAAAAACCAAACCAAACTTTTATTCAAAAGTTTTAGAAAAATTTAGGTATACAGTTTTATAGCCCAATAAATTTTAGTAAGACGAAGTGCAAGATTCATGGCTCCAAAAGTTGCCTAAATTTTTTTGTTGCCATTGCTTCCAAAAACACAATTTATTTTTATATGGAACAAAATCGCTACACCTTCGGCAAAAATGGCAATCAAAGGCATTTAGTAAACACTGCCAGCTACTTTATCCTTCTAAAACGTCATGGGCATGATTACATTTTTTCTTAAAATACTGATTAAAAAAGTTTGAATTTTAGGGCGGAAATTCGTTGATTTTTATAATTTTCCTTTACAAAGTTTTAAACGCATATTTATATGTGGTTTATTTTATAAAAAGTTGAACTTTTATAAAAAATTGTTAAACATTAAATAAATAAAAGAAATATAGCCATAACTGGTGAAAGTAAGAGTTTTCCATTATTTCTGCCGAAGTATACAAAGTCTTCTAAACGTTGCGTATACGCCATGACGTTCACGACTTACCTATACCCATAAACTACACTCATACAGCCCGATTCTGTGCACTTTATAAATTGAAAATCTTTATAATTTGTCAATTTTTTATTATTTATCAAGAATTGGAATTCTAGCACAGAAATCAAAAGCTCTTTTCTTGATAAATTATCAAGATTGAAAATGCTATTGACAAATTGAATTTTCATGTGAAATGTATAAATTTTGTATATCAATAAATTTGTTTCTAACAGCTAAATAAATCATTTGCCGGCATTCGAACCTGCGATATACGGAATTATGGTCGACATCTCTACCTACTCGGCTACGGCAGTCAAAAGCTTTTTTGCTTTTAAATTCAGAATGCGAAGGGAGCTTTACAGAATTGGGCGGATAGTATGTATAACCTCATATTGTCATCATCATTGCGAAAGGCTTCATGTGATTTTATGATTTTTATAGTTTATGAAATTAAAAAAAAAGGGCGTGATCACGCCCACTTATGATTAAGTGCTGTATCTCAGTAACCGCTTCTCCAATCCTTACCAAACTCGGTCCGAGCCTTGCCCAGGGTCTAGCCATGAAAACAGTTTCCTTAAATTTTACAGACATTTTCATATTTCTTATTAGAAAGCTACATAAAGTACCTCTGTGCAATACGTGACGTCCTTACCAATTCACTTGCACAGTAAAACTGGTGGCGAATTCGCGAAATTTACTCGATTTGAAAAAACCAGTAAGTTTTAAATTCGGAAAATTTACTACAGATGTAAAGCCGAAGCAAGCCTTATAGGCACTTAATAACAATTTTTTTTTAGTTGATTTACTTAACTCGGTTATTTAAATATATTTATAATCTCTTTATACCTAGCCCCTTTCTTCATTCGAGTATTCATTAAATAATAGAAATGTGAGATGTTATTTAAGAGTAGCTTGCTGGTGTTCATTAGCATTACTCATACGCCGTGGGACTCGTATTTCGTATTCCATTACACAATTTATTTACATTATTCTATATTTTTATATTTTTTAATCACGCATTTACATACACTTACTATGCTTTTTTCTATAATATTTTTTGGTTTCGATTAAATCTACAAATTTTTTTTTGGATTACTTGCAGATGACCCAGAATTTGTAGCGAATAAAAGTGTTTGAAAATACAAAAACTCGATGAAGCTTTGCAACAACAGCTTAAGAAAACCAATATAGAAAAAAGGCTAAAGCCAGATTTATGTGTTTGGTCCCTTGAAAATCAGTGATTGACTGGTATTTCTAAGCAAAATTATCCAATTTCAGGGGTGAGTACCGTACTTATTTCTCACAACTATACATATTCTTGGCAAATTAATTTATTACCACTTTGTTTAGCAATTATTTATAACAAGAAAACCATACATCTTAGACAAATTAAGGCACCAAAGTCAAGATCTAAATCAGATTTGCTCTTTGGATTACATTTTAAAGCTATATGTTTTATATCTTTTAGTTATTGTTAATTATTTTTGATTTTCAATCCGCTAATAATTAAAAAAATCTATTTGATTTGTGATTTGATTCATCGAGCAAACTACAAATTAATTTAATTTGTGATTTGATTCGTCGACAAAATAGGGAAAAAAATGTATTTGCGGTTTCTTTTGTTGGCTATATAAAAAGTAAAATTTATTTGTGATTTGATTCGTCAACCAAATAAAAAATTAAATTTTATTTAGTCGAAAATCGTGCTTGCGTTACACAAAAAATGTTTTGCTCGACAAATCAAATCACAAATTAACTGTATTTTTTTATTTTTTTTTGACAAATCCATTTACAAGTAAATTTTATTTTTTATTTTTTATTTGTCCGACCAAATCAATTTTGTTTTTCAATTTGGAATTGGCAGTGTCCTCAATATAAAAGAAAATTGTCGAACATACTTTGTATGGAAAAAACGTGCAACACCTTCAAGCAAAAAAATTCTCAAAAATACTAGAATTAAATGCGCAACAAAACTGCATACCAAAATTTTTTCTAAAAATTCTGATTAAAAAGTTTGAAGTTTTGGTGAAAATTTACATAATTTGTATAATTTGTGTATAAAGTTTATATGGTGTTTGTTGTATAACCAGCTAGACTTTTATAAAAGAAATAATAAACATTAAATAAACAAACGACAAATAGGAAAAACTGCTCAAAATATTGCACTGCTATTATTTTGTGGAAAACTGTAAACGTTCTCTTTTCATTATCTTATCCATATAACCTCTAAATGACCAGAGTTCACTTATATTTCGGGGTCATAAACACAAATTTTATCGATTTACTTTTTCTCATAAATCAAAAGTAGAATTTTTCAGTTAGAAAAAAAAAAAACTAAAAAAATATTAGGTGGTAAAAATCGCTTAAACTAAATTTTCAAATAACTGCTTAAGATTGCTCAAAAATGTATTGGTATGAAGAATAATTTAAAAGAGACTAGACTCTCCTTAACAAGTTCTTATTTTACCAAAGCCATTAATTGCTTTGGTTCGAGAGCAGGCGACTTCCGACTATCTCTATCTATAATTTGCGCTATTCCGCCCGCCAAATGCTGAAAGATCTTTATGCGCTTGCTCCTTTAATTCCACTCATGCACCCTTGCTTTCGTTGCCAATCCTTGGCTGTATAAGCAAAGCTTTTTCGTTGGGTTTTTTCATACCAATTTCATATTCTTCGAAAAGTATTGCAGTTGTATATTCTTTCGTGTGCTTTTATATACTTTTATAATAGGCATTAATAACGATTCCAGTGTATGCCTGCTGATCTACCCTTAATTGTCTTGAAAAAATCTTGATAAAAATATAATTTACTTTTCCACCCTTAAATAAGTACTTTTCATTCATTATTTTCATTGCCATCGTGAATTGTCGCCCTCTTTATATCGTGTATAGATATATGTAAGTAAATATAGTATACTCGTGTAACGTTCTACGCACCGGCTAACAATAAGATGTTTATCGCACTCGCTTGTCTATGCTGCTACCTACTTTAGTTAGTTACTTTTTGTACTGCAATTTACAACAAAAGCTTAATTGACGCTTACGTTTGCACTTTTAGTAAATTGCATGATGAGGCTGCAATGCTTGTGAGTGGGTGCAAAAAAATCAATAAATGTTTCCTTAGTTTTTGCAAACAGTATTTACTTGTACTACAAAAAATCAAAAATGTTGCATATAAAAAAGGGTGCAAAACACGGCTGTGCAAATTGCATATGTAGCAAAAGTGTAAAGTGATACGAAAAGAACTAAATATGGTAAATAGAGATATATAGGTAGGTAGGTATTGCTGTCGGAACGAAAATCCACAAATGTCATGGAGTTTATTTGCAACTAACTAAAGTCATGCATCTGTTTTTTGGTTTCTTAAAGTTTCCAATATGCCTTATATGTATAAGCAGCATTATTATTCTTATATATTTCTGAGCCATTTGTGTGCCATTGTCCTCTTATTGGCAATTTAACTTCGTATCCTAACCTTTGACAATACAAAGCAAAGATTCATTTTCCGAAATCTGTGTTTATGTAGGTTAGTGGGTTATGTAGGCATGAATCATCCAGCTGCGTAGATGCGCTTGTCTATATACAAAAATGTCTATGTAGTACAAAAATGTCTGTTCAGCTTCCATTGAGCTACATCTATATGTAGATACTATACATACAACATACTCATATATGTGTATAAGTCTTTAATGGTGCAGGTTTAGAGGAAAATCAGAACAATAAATATAGTACATAAATACGTCAGATTAGTTGGCCACAAAAAAAAATAAAAAATTTATGAATGCTCATAAAAGATTACAAAGCATACTAAAATACCGTCCGACACGATTTTTCTCCCATAAAAAAATTAAGCATTTTCGGAAATAAGAGCCCTAAAAGTGCCCGTATTTTACAGTTTTTCTAGATCAAGTCATTTACGGTCTCTTAGCTGAGCTCAGTTTTTTAAAACTCAAAATGGCGTATTCAATATGGCGGACAGATTGTTAAAAAATTGTCGGATATTTATGAAATTTGATATCCAAAGGTTCTTTAAGGCGCTGATTACAAAACTGAAATCAATTCAATTCATTTTTTTGTTTCCCATTCATAATAGTGTTCGATATTTTTATCGTTATCAATATTATTTATCGTTATCAATAATATTTATCGTTATCGTTATGGATATTAGTTTTCAGTTTCTCACCGTTTTTATTGGGCATATTGTCATAGTGGTCAATAATATTATCTATTGCAATCGACATTTCATCGTCGTTTAATTTATAAGCTACAAAATTACTAACCGGAAAATCTCCTGCTTTGGAACTAAAACGTGACTACAATTTTTTATATCTTTGAAGGTGTTTTGGAGTATTTTGGCAGGACTTGGAATTGACCCGATACATTTCAGTGTGTCGATAAATTTCGATAATTTTATACATATATATATACATATATATATACATACTCAATGAATTTCAAAAGCACTAACACCGATAAGTCAACAAAATTCAAAAGCTCGACTAATTTCGATAATTTTCGAGGCTCGGAAAAATTTCGATAACTCAAAAATGTATATATCTCGATATAAATCAATAACTCGATAAACTTTGGATACCTCCATAAATTTCTATAACTCGGTTAATATTGATAGCTTCAAATATTTTTTTTTTTTTTGATAACGAGATAAATTTTGTCAAGTCTATAAATAATGATAGTTCCATAAATATCGATAGCTTGATAAATTTCATAAACTTGACAAATGTTGATAGTACTATGAACTTTTATAGCTCGATAACTATGCGTGCATATATATTTCGACAACTAAGTTTCTGTGTCTATAAATTTCAACAATTCAATAAACATTGATCGATTTGAATAATTCGATACGTTGCAATAAATCAATAAGCCTGAATAACCGGATAAATTTTGATAACTATAAATTTCAATGATTCGATTAATTTCGGTAACTTGATAACTTTCGTTAACTAGATTTTTTAAGACTGAATTTATTTCGATTCTTATAGAAAAATTTCAATAAGTACCCTTTCAGTTTTTATCATTTATTTCTTCATTACAAAGTCTAATTTCAAATACGAAGTAAAACAAAATGCGAAAACAACCCATTTTGAACAGGTTGCAACAACAACTATAAACAAATAGGAACATTTTTAAAAGACGATTTTGACTATAATTTGCCACCAATTTTGAAATCATAAAAACTCTCCTCATTTTTCAAAAAAAGCCTGGAAAAAAAAGGATTGGAAAGCCAGTCTGTTCTTGGTTTCGAAATCGTGACAAACTACTCTCAAACTCAAAAAACACCAACTGCCGTTCGGAGCCAGCGTTGAACTTTATACCGACTCCCACGTGAAATTCTATCCTTTTTAATTGAGAAAGTTCTGGTGGTATTAGTTTTCCGGCATGTCGCTGGAAATGGAGAGATCTGTAGAAATTTAGTTACACATTTTTCAAATTGAACTGCATAACTGCGGGCACATTTAGTGAGTGAGTCTAAAATTAGTATGATCTTTTGGCACAATATACTGTATCCTTACGTATTTTAATTTTAGAATTTTAGAGTTTGAAACCACTTGGAATTAGTAGTTATTTCAACAGGCGTCTTTAGTTTTCACTTAAAGCAAAGCATTTTTCCTATCTACATATTACAACAAGCAGTAAATATATTCGAAAATCTGTAATTAAAATCTCCTAAAAATAATTTCAACATTTTTACATAGAACAAAGCATACAAATTTTATTTATTTTAACCCAAATTCCCCGTTAAAGTGCTCTTAAATGTACGCTCCAATTTCCTCTTTCAATCGAGTAATTACCTTCAAGTGTAGCTTTGCAAAAGTTTTTTTTTTATCCAAAGGCTTACTGCTGCTAAGTAAAATATTTACTTGACTTTACTGTGTGCTAATTGCATTAACTTTAACACTGTTATTTACTTCTTTTATTCCAACTAAAATGAATTCACACAAAAAGTTTAAACTGACTTTTCACTTTACGTTGCGCAAGAGAACACGTCCAACATCTGACACGTTGCAGGCAGCAATGAAACCGAATGCGAACGAAACCGTGTAATATGTACTGGTAACCTCTGCATAAAAGCACATACTCATGTACATATATATGTATATATATGTCTATGTACAGGCAAT